TATACACAACAACTGCATGTGCCAAGAAATAAGGCTTCAATTTTTTGACGGCCATGAAGAGAGCAAGACCGAACTTTTCCACTAAAGGATATCTTAACTCGACATTTTTCAGTACATGACTGACAAAGTAGAACGGGGGCTGGCAGTCGTCTCTTTCAGCAAGAAAGACAGCGCTTAGAGCATGATCAGAGACAGCCAGGTACATGTAAAGCACTTCTTTGGGCAAAGAACTGACCAGCCTCGGCAAGGAATGTAAGTGAACTTTCAATTTTTGGAAGGCCGCCTCAGCATCCGGCCCCCATTCAAAGCTTTCCTTCTTCTTTATAGCCTGGAAAAAGTAAAGGCACTTGTCGCCTGATCAGCTGAGAAATCTTCCCAAAGCCGCCAGACAACCTGTTAGCTTCTGAACCTCTCGGACGGTGCGAGGCGACTTCATGTCGATGACCGCCTGCACGTTCTCAGGGTTCGCCTCTATTCCTCTCTGATTGATGAGAAATCCGAGAAATTTCCCAGACTCAACTCCAAATACACATTTCTTGTGATTGAGCATGACATGGTGCCGCCTTAGTGTGGTGAAAGTTTCTCGGAGGTCCGACAGATGGTCTGTCTGAAGGTTGGACTTAACAATCATATCATCAATGTATGCCTCGACGTTCCTCCCAATCTGGTCAAAGAAGACGGTATTTATCATTCTTTGAAAGGTGGCCGGGGCATTCTTCAGACCAAACGGCATGACCGTGTAGCAATATAGACCTTGATCTGTGACGAAGGTCGTCTTCTCCTGATCTTTTTTCCACAAAGGAATCTGATGGAAGCCAGAGTAGGCGTCCATGAAACTCATTAAAGCATGGCCGGCTGTTGAATCGACCAGATTATCAATTTTTGGCTGAGGGTAACTGTCCTTGGGGAACGCCTTGTTTAGGTCCGTGTAGTCTACACACATTCCCCAGGTACCATTCAGCTTTTTAACAAGTACAACATTTGCAACCCAGTATGGGAAATAACATTGCCGAATGAACCCTGCGTCAAGCAACATTTTAACTTCGGCGGCCGCCGCCTGACTCCTCTCTTCTCCATGATTCCGCTTCTTCTGCCTTACCGGCTTTTTCTTCGGATCCACGGCCAGTTTATGTACCGCCAGGTCTGGACTGATGCCTGGCATTTCATGAACTTCAAATGCAAAGATGTCTCTGTATTCTTTCAAAAGTTGGTGAAAATCTTCACCCAGAACTCTAAGAGCAGTAGTCCCAACTTTGACTGTTCGGTCAGGGCACGAGTCGTCCAGGATCAGGTCCGCATGCTCACCAACCGGCTGAGGGCGGAATTCGTCTGACCGCTCCTCTGCCAGTGATTGCTATCTTTTTTCTTTTCTTGCGGCCCTCAACTGGGCAGCCTTTCTTTTCTTGCCGCCTGCTTCTTGAGCAGGCGCATCCTTTCTGACAACTTCAAAATCTGATTTTTCACCATTTGACCCAGCGGCCATGACAGTGGGTTTGATATCCGAGAGATAGCACTCCCGGGCCATCTTCTGATCTCCCCTTAGAGAGCCGACTGTTCCATCATCCTTCTCAAATTTGAGCAACATAAGAGATGGAATAATAACAGATTTTGAATTATTTAGGGTAGGTCGTCCCAGAATCATGTTGTAGGCCGAGAGTTCCTCAACTACCAGGAACCGGACCACCATGTGTCGACCCTCCCCCTTTTCACCCAGGCGGATGGGTAAATCGACTCGCCCTACGGGGTGGACGACTCCTCCTCCAAACCCTACTAGAGGGTGGGATACCGGATGCATGCAATCAGTCTTGTATTTGAGCTTTAACAGACACTTGCTACTGATAAGGTCGGAGGAACTGCCGGTATCTATAAGGATCCGGCCAACTCTTTGGTTGACCACTTTGCATTCAATAACAATGGGGTCATTATGCGGCCCCTTTACCCCTCCTAGATCTTCTTCTGTGATGACAATTTATGGGAATGAATTCTTGGAGGGCCGTTCTTGGTGAACGGAATTGACATCTAGTCGCCTGATATTGTCTTTATTGCCCCTTATAGTGGGGCCGCCTCCTGAGAAGCCGCCTAAAATTGTGTAGACGACTGCATCATCTGTATCGGAACTATCAGCCTGTTGATTCTCTTTGGCCGACTGCTTATTTTTTGAGAAAGTATTTCCCTTAGACTTCTTGACATAAGAGTCAAGGTCGCCTTGTCAGCCAGGCGGTCTAGATATCGCATGAGACTTATGCATTCGTTGGTTTCATGACCAACGTCTTCATGATAATGGAAAAATTTATCTTGGTTCCGATTGCTCGCAGAACCCTTCATGGGGGCCGGCTTCTCGATTGAGATCCGACCTTTGATTTCTTTGAGGATAGCTTGACTATCCTTGCTGAACATATACTTTGGAGAGTATGGTTTGAACTCTTTCTTCTTCTTTTGGGCCGGCTGTTTAGAGGAATCGGCCGCCCAGACCTCTTTTCTCTTTTTATCATCTTTATTGGTCGACTGCTTTGGTCGGCCTTCTTTTTTGTCGGACCTCCTTCCGTCCGACTACTTTCCAGTACTACAGAGATCAGTCGCCTATATATAGGCTTCTACTTCGATCAAGGCTTCTTGAAGAGTCGCAACCCTCTTTCGAACCAGGTCAAACTTGAAGGTCGACCCGTCCTTGAGACCTCTGAAAAAGTCAGTATAGGCTACCTCATCGGTAGCCCTTGAATCTGTATCCTCATCAGGTTGAACCGCCTGATGTAAGAACGGAGCCCCTCCTTCTCGCCATGCTGAATCGTCCCTAAGTCAAGAGTCGTCTTCTTTGCAAGAATGTTCATGGCGAAGTTGGAGGTGAATAAGTAAGCAAGCGTCCCGAAGTTGTTCACACAACCAGTCGGCAGGTTGCCGAACCATTGCTGTGCGATTCCTTTGAGAGTCGCTGGGAAACACTTGCACCAAGTGGGATCATCCAACCCTTGGAGATACATTAGGTTGGTGAATGCCATCAGATGGTCTTCAGGGTTAGTGGTGCCGTCATAGGCGCCTACTAACACATTTTTAACTTTGGCCGGCTGAACGGCTTCAGTAATTTCCTTGGAGAAAGCCGACGGCTGTTCTCCAAGTCTTAGCAACCGTAGTTGCCAGTCCAAAGGCTGGACATTTTTTGCCGTCTGCCCTCCAAACAGAGGTGGCTGCAGAAAATATTGTTGTTTTGGTACAAATGGTAAGTTTGGTAATGCTTGGTCGTTATGAAATCCAGACCGACGGGAGGTGCCATCTGTCTGGCTCTCATGATTTGACTGAGTATACCTCATAGAGGTATTGTGCAAACTATCTTGGAAATCTGAAGTGGAGGCCGACTCTGACAGTCGGTCGTTCTTTTTTTGCTCTAGCAGTAGCCGAGCGTCTGAGTATGTTTTCTTTGACCTATCTGCCTGTATATGACGAACGGGCTTCCTCTTCCCTGGTGTGGGAAAACGGTACTTCGTGAAGTCAAGCACAGGTGGCTCCCACTTCCTTGAGTTAGGATGCGGGGTCGCCTCTCGTCCTTGGACAGGTTTCCTTCTTCCTGAATGGGAAGGCTTTTTTGCCGACTGCTCCTTAGACAGAGCAGGCGTCTTCTTGTTGATCAGTTCTTAGATCTCCCCCTTGAAGCCCCTCATGAAGGTCATGAGTTCGTTTCTTGTAATGGGAGCAGACCCTTCAGCCGCCTGCTGCTGATCAGGCGGTGTGCCGACTGGATTACTAGGTCCAGTTTGGTGATCTACCCGTTCTTTCCTTTCGGTGTGACGGGTAAGCCGGGCCCTTAAGGTCCCGTCTGAGGCTGTGTGCGCTTCAACTTCAACCTCATTTTCGGTATCATAATCTGAGTGAACTTGAGGGTCGTCCAGGGGACGCCTCTCTTTTAGAGTCGGTACAGACGTAGATGCCATCTCAAAAGTACTCTCCCCACAGACGGCGCCAAAATGTTTCGGGGTTTTCTAATGTCCTGCGGGAGAGTTACAATACCGAGACTGGAACCGGACGCCTGAACCTGCAAAACAAACGGAGACTCCGTGTGAGTGGAGTTCCGCCTCCAACGGTCAAGTTAGTACTTATTTAGGGAGTAATTAATGCGGAAAAAAGGTAAATGAGTCTCTCTAGGTAAGAGTGTTTGATGTGCGTAATCCCCTTTAATGAGGATTAATGAAGGTATTTATAACCTTGGGATGCATGCCAATTCCTGGGTTTAGGTTAAACCTAAGGCTGACTGGGCTTTCCCCATGGATTGGGCCTTGTTGGCCGATTATCCCATGTGTCATGGGGAGGACACGTGTTGTGTCGCATTGGTCCATGGTGGACGAATCACTGATTGACACGTGGCAGGCTCCTATTTGCCCATGTAAAGGACACGTGACGGAACCTGATTTGTCCACTTGTCAGATAGTGATTGGAGGGGAAAATCCCCTAATCACTAATGTCTAACCTTTTCAATGCTAATGTCTAACCTTTCTAAAGCTAACGTCAATCGAATAAGATGAACATTTTATACAACTGAACAAACACAAAAATCTATGTTAATTAAAAAAGAAAATGAGCATTATTCTTAAACGAATGAACATCCTATAGCATAAAAATGAACATTTAATTCTATAAGAATGAACATTCTATAGCAAGAAAATGTACATTTTTTCAAAACGAAGAATCACCTGGAATTGGCTTGTCACGGGACCAGCTAATACTAAGTGCCTGTGAGCCACCTTGCTGAGCCTAATTTGCTGGGCTGATAGAGCATTGGACTTGAACATAAGTTTTGGACTTTTAAAATGGCAGCATTAATTCATTATCACCATCCTCGATAAGGAGCAGCCGCAATCTTAGATGCCTTAAACCATTAGGAGCGGCACCAATCTTAGATGCCTTAAACCATTAGGAGCGGGGGATTTCTTCGAATAATTCGGCTACACACAAACATTTTTACTAGCACGATATAATTGTATTTTTACTAGCACGATATAATTGTAGGAGACGACAGTACAACTGAAGGAAGCTATTCATATTATTTAAGGTCAACATTGAATATAAACGCAATGACACCTTTTATTACAGACAACATACCACAGTATATGCCTCTTAAGTACAAGTCCAAAGCTTAAGAGAATTCACACAACAACAAAAGAAGACTGACTCAAATAAGACTACAAAATTAAACACCCCAGCAAACATAAAGGACCTATGCAGTGTTTACATTTTTATGACCAACGAAACTAGTAATCTTCTGGTGCCAAAGGTTGGTGAGCATGAGGAGGCTCAGTAGGGATCACAATAAACTCGTAAACCAGTCCAGCAAGCCCACCTCCGATCAAAGGACCAACCCAGTAGATCCAGTGATTCCTCCATCTCCATCCAATTAAGGCCGGTCCAAATGCTCTTGCTGGGTTCATTGATGCTCCGTCGAATGGCCCACCCACTAGAATATTTGCTCCTACAATCAACGCGATGGCTAAAGGTGCAATGGTCCCTAAGCTGCCTCTCTTTGGATCAATGGCGGTAGCATAAACCGTGTACACTAGACCAAATGTCATCACTATTTCCAGAATTAAAGCTTGAAGATTACCCTCACCGTATGCCACTCCTAGCCCAACTGGTCTCTGCAACATATTTATAAAAATGAGATCACTTAGATTTTAGAACAACATAAACTGATTATGCAAATACTAACAGAAAGTAGAAGATACATGTGTTAGATCGAAAACTCAAGTACCTCATGGCTTTTGATCACAAGTTGAAAATATTTGCCTTACATCATTTGTACAGAATTAGTGAAAACATATCAGTATATTAGTGTCACTATTGTATGTAGCACATACGGCTAGAGGTGTAAAAAATAAACACAACCTGACCTGATACAACCCAACCCAAATGTAAAAGAATTCAGATTTAGACTTAGATGATACAATGATTTAACATGACTCAAACCCGAACTAGACCCGACCTGACAAGACCCAACCATACCCGACCTAATTACCCGAATTGACACCTCTAAGCATACTCTATGTTGATCATTTTTACCATTAAATTCATTCCAGGACAGTAAAAATCAATACAAGAGAACAGACTTAACCAAAGATGCGGTTATCTTTTAGTTAATTTTGAGCAGAGATTTTGTAACACAATTAGCAATTAGCTAGCACTCACCATGCCATCAGTAACAAGCCTGAGAAGTAGGGCAGCAACAATTGCACCCAAGAGTTGTGCTACCCAATATAAGATAGCACGAAGAAACGAGACTCTACCACCAACAAGGGCGCCAAATGTAACTGCTGGATTTACATGCCCTCCTGATACATTCAAACTTGCCGCGACTGCAGCAAACAAACCAAACGCATGTGCCAAAGCTATCACCATCAACGATGAGGCTCCCGTTGTTGCCTCATCACCGTATAACTTCCCTGCATTTTAACAGAATAAAGAAAGCTATTAAAGAGATCAAAATCAAACCTACCATAGTACATAAATAATGTCCAATAATTTTATTGATTACCATCAGAATTCTACACAAATTTCTAAACTTACCAATAAAAATTAGAAATCCCAATTTACTTATCTTAACTCTAATTCTTACTATACTACTATCTGGCTATGCGTAGTCGGATTTTCTTCGTACTAAAATGAGTAAAATCTGATAACGACAGTGAAAGACAGCGAATTTCCTATTACTCAAGGTAGCTTTTGTTACATTGAACTTTTATTTTTTATTTATTTATTTATTTATTATTATTATTATTTTTTTTTACAATTTGTTACATGGAACTTAGAATCTACAGTGTACAAGAAAATAGATTTTTTATTTTTTTTTATTTTTTTATTTTTTATTTTTTTTTATTTTATGATCTAAGTAAAATATTTAGCATTAGTATGAAAGCTATTCCATGGATGCTAAAGCTTAGTTGGTTGAAGTGTTGGGTTCGATGTGGATCAGTGGTGTTACATCATTTGTACAAGATGGTATCAGTATCACATGCACTAAACAATAATAATATAATTGATTAATGATCGATCCTTTTTGAGCTTTGAATAGCAACGAATTTAACTTTTATATTCTATTCACAAATCATGACTAGACATTTTTAGTATTAAAATAGAAACAAATGTTATTATACTACACAAAAATGTATGATTGTGTTATTCAAAGAGTTGTGAGTTAATAAACGTAAAAGTCAAAACATTACAATATCAAGACAACGAGGAAAAACATGCATGCAAGAAAGAAAAACATACGGAGAGCGAGCTGGGAACCCTCGCCAGCAAAGACAAAGATTAAAGTGGAGATGAATTCAGCCAAGGTAGCTCTCATGGAATCAGGGTGTGTGGCCTCTTCCGGCCTTCCGAACGCGTATCTTCGAGGTGGTGCCATGCTAGCTACTCTCCCTTCTTCTCTACAACCCCAACTTGAGCTAAGCCACCGTCAAAACACCAAGCTAACAGCAACAACAACAACAAAAAATCTATCAATCTCTTACCACAACTTTTGACAAGAAAAAAAGGCCTAAAAATCTTTCTCAAGTTTAACAATATTGTTGGTACTACTACTTTCTCAAGAGAAATATAATTAGAAGAGTAGAAATGGAGAAAGACAGATGACGATAGTTGCAGAAATTGGACAAAATTTATGAGAGGAGTAATATGGACACTTGGATTAAGGCATGCCATAATTTTGACACGTACAATATTATATGCATGTGTTTGTATTTCATATTGTGATTGACTCTAGCTAGCATGAACTCAGATGATATCAAAGTTGCGATGAAAATAATCTCATCTCTATCTAAAACCAGAATAATTCTATTCAAGTTTTATAAACTGGGCCCCGTTTTAATTGGTTTAGTTCCCCGTGTAAACAGAAATTAAATGTGTATACCTACATGATTAAGTTCAAATCACATATAATTTTTTTTAATTTTTTTTTTAATTAAAATATTAGGCAGGAATATTATAAATCAGAATTCGTTAAAAGTACAAGATTTTGTGGGAACTGACCAAACAAACAAATTCCGAGCAACCACAAGTATCTCATCTTGCTATAAGGTAGGTTATCGTATTGTATGCCCTTCTAACATGAGAAGAAACAAAAGCAGTACAAAACTTAGATAACATGCTTAAACCACATGTAATATAGTTATGTACAAAAGTGTGTTAAATTTGATTATATTAAAATATTATAAAAACGAAAGAAATAATGTTTTTAACATTTATTGTTTGTAGTAGAATTGACGGTAAAAGTGACTGAAAAAAGGTGAGTGATGTAAGAAAATGGTAGTTTAAATAAAAAGTGTATGTGATTTAATAAAACAGCTTTTAAATTAAATAGAGCAAATGAAAAATATAAATATTACGGGATAAGATGGGTAAGGTGTAAAAAAGGTTTGTCCAAAAATTACAAAATGGACAAAAACAAATCATGTGAGTTAAAAATAAACATTCCTTGTGATTACTATTAAAGCCTATGTAACAATGAATATTACTCTGTAGTATATTACTCTGTAGTATATTACTCGGTACCACATTAGTTCACTCTCCCCACACCCCTCCTATTTTTTATCTTTTTATTTTTTACAAACCATATCTCAACTCTTACGATTTTTTGGTCTAATATTTGTGGGTCAAACACTTGAAAGTAGAGAGAAGGGTAAGGAAATACCTACCAAATGAGCCAGGAATCTTTATGCCTAAGTTAAATAGGATGAGTATACTAAAATGAAAGGAGCACTAAGTCTCTGCAATGATTGTCTATTCTCTCTAAACAGAAAATAATACCGTAACTAATATATAAATTCATAGAGGAAGGATGTAGGTATAGCACCCAGAAAATAATACTGTGACTAATATACTACTACCGTATCTTATGAAGTTTATTCTGAGTGTTACAAACAAAGAAATAGTTTTTTTTTTTGTTTTGTTTTTTTTTTTTTCTTTTTTTTTTCCTGGGATCGAATTGTTATTTGGATTTGAGTTCTGAGTCTAGCAAAGATAATTGTACTTCAATTTTATCTACGAATGGATAACTCTTCTAATTCTACGGAAATTAAAAGATACACCCATCAAATTAGATCTCATCTCTTATGGTGTTCTCACAAGTCACAACCATCTTCGAGTAAATGCTTTTCACAAGCTCAGAGCATATGATTATCATAAACCTTACCCAAAGATCTGAGCTCGTGTTAGCTCAGTTGGCATTTGGCAAGGTCCTTAAGAGATGTTGCCTTGGATCAACAATTCTTCTGAATCGAAGTCCTTTTTTCTGATATCACAAACCAGAACAGGGTATTAATGTACGAAGTCTTGATAAAACTCATAAAAGAGAGCAGCTCAAAAAACAGTAAGACATTCAGCAATCTGGGAAATCACAATGATCACACCAAGGGTGAAAAGATCCTGCAATCTTCCTCTCAAGCTTCCAGAGAAGGGGGCAGGAGGAGCGCAAGGAGCAAATGATGACGAACAATCCTAAAACACCTGGCATTAAAACTCAAAGATGACAAAATGCAAATGAAAATCTTGGATTTTATCTATGAGAAGATAGCACCATTCAAAAAATTTGATCAAGCAATTATGACAAAACATACGCAAAAAGAACTAGCAGCTGCTTGCATTCCGAAGCTATGATATGTCAGAGATAACGATACTCATAACATCAGATACAAAACATTCAGAATATTGGAGAAACTTCCGAGTTGAGAAAACTGTTTTTACATTTTTTTTCAACTTGGATAGGCATACTGGCCAAGTAACTATAGATTAATGATGTCCAAGATGGATACAGTAAAATCAATCTTCACTATCAGAACTTTCATATGCTAAACCTAGTAATGATTTCACAGTATCATCTGCTTTTTTTTGGGCTTGTTCCTTTGATAATAACTGAGCATCCTTTTGTTTTTCACTTAGCTCCTCAACCTTGTGCTCTGGCGTAGCAATTTCATTTATATCTGAATTTGACTGATTACCCTGATATGGGCTTGACAACTTTGATCGCTTCGGTTTAATCTCTACTACTTTCTTTAGCAGATCTTGTTGCCTACAAAATAAATGCGTAAACAAATTAGATTCAGGGTATTTCTCAAGATGAAACATAATAATTAGCACCTCTAGTACTTTTTATCTAATTAAATTTCACTTGCAGAATCATAAGCCAAAGGTAGAATGCAGATTTGCAGTATTCACATGAGTGAGCAGCCACCTACATCCATGAACAAGGTATGGGTGGGTAACAAATGGTTTAGTCAGTTTGGCTACAGATTGGGAGGTTCATAATCAGATCATCTTCATGTGGTATAACCATACAAGTGCAAATTAGATATGGGCTGGGTCGAACCAGGTAAATATTGTCCATTTGTGATCAAAAATTGGATAGACTCAAGGAGTTTGAAATCAATCTCATTCTAAATTAATTTAAGACAGGCTATTCAGATGAAGCAGGCATAAATAAAAAATGACAGTTGAAGCAATGATTATTGAAAATAATAATTTGAAAAAAATTATCTTGCTTTTCATCCACCAACTTACTGCAAATGGTCCAAGAAAGATAGATGTTCATGATTTGATGCTAGAGATATAATATACCTTATTCCACTCTTTGATTTGGGCTCGACTCGAAGGGACAAGGGAGTAGGTGCAGGTGTAGAATCTGCCAAATTCACTGCTCTGTATGAATAGTTAAGAATCACTGTAATTCAAGCATTCATCTACGTACAAAATATCAGAGGGCATTACTACACAAGTGTAAAAAGGCCATCCTTGCCAGAAGACAAACAGGACTACTGTTACAACTTTGTACCTGCGAGTTATTCTCATAGCATTTAATATTATGTAGTTGCTCCAAATACTGTAACAAGAGAAATGCTAAGCAACTAACAACCAATCTTTCAAGAAAAAAATAATTAAAAAAATAAAAACATCAAATTATCAAACTTGTAAAAAAATAACATGCTGACCCTTTTGAATAACTTACCAAAAGGACATATCCGTCTGTTAGATCTTATATTAAGCTCAAGAGTTATACAATTATACTACGCATATGAATAGATGATTACACTAGAAAGTGAATCCGGTGAAGTTGATCAAAAGACTAAATATTTTAAGCACCTCTCATGAGACTCACAATTTAACACAAAGTATTAATAAGCACTACATCTTTATTACACCAGAAAAATTGACACCAACAATCCCAACTACTACAAGTCTATCAACATCCTCAGTAACAAACTAGCAAGTAGAAATAGGCCAAACGTTGGGAATTGTTTTCTTAAAACAATTTTTAATTGGATTGAAACTAATAAGCAGGAAAAAAAAATGTCTCAACAAATGACATAAGTCTATAAGAAATTTACAAGTGACGTACCATTGGCCAGCCATCCTTTTTGGTTCACAAAAGAAAGCAATGAGATTACAAAAACACTTTGAGAACTTAAAAAAACAAATCTACATGGATAAACCCATAAGAAGATTCTATTCTATGGAACAACCACACTACAATTGAGCAAGATCAAAATCAGCTTCTGAGTTCTGACAAAAGGTATCATACTTGAAACATATATTCATATAATTCTTGCAAAACCTTTGGAATAATGAATAGGCAAAGAAAATTATTACAAAAATAAATAAAATCTTGTAGAACTTGTAGATGCAGAGATAGCAGGTAAACAGCATAACCTAAGCTTGACAAATAGGAGATGAACTCAAGGCAGCAATATAACCAAGCGTCATAAAGTGTTTTTAAAGCTGTTCAGGTTTAATAATATAGTGAGTTACTGACAACATTTTGTCCCCTTTCCAATAGAATTTTAAATTTACTCAAAAAACTATTTTTTTTTTTTTGTGGTGAAATTGTTATAGGAAAACCAAAAAGGATATTTTGAAAGCGGCAAATGCTCGTTTCTCAGTGCGACGTAAAAGGCGCTCAGCATCTTCCTCAGCTTCCATCTGCTCCTTTAGATAGAGAAGGTCATCACTATCCAACGCTGCATGATAAGACTTGACCAAAACTTAGATGATAAGCCTTTAACAATAAAAACAACAAAAGTACCATCCTTTCAGAGGCTTGAAGTAAGATATTGTCCTCTCTTACATGCTAGACGTACATGTAGAGAGATGCACGCAAGGTAAATAAAAAAAAGAAAAAAAAAAAAGAAAATTACCGCCTCTTCCATGAAGGTAGCCTCCACGTTCTCCAGCAACCTCTTGCATCTGCTTTGTCAACCAACCAGACAGAAAAGCCAGGATCCCTGTCAGGGCATGTTATCAGAAAACTCTAAACATATATATATTAAGTCCTCGAAAAATCAATTTGGATAGTACAAACTCCATGTAACATAGTAATCTCTTTATACACAATACCTCCAATTCCTAATTACTGCAGAGGAAAGGAAAAGAAAAATAACATCTTCAGGAACTTCTGCCATGACAATAACTGTGGATAGTACTAAATGTAATTTACAAACTAGGATGTTAAACAAAAAGTCCAGAACTGGCAGCTTTCACCCCCATTGTAGCACACAGCTTATCTCCTCGTAATTATTTTATTTTATTTTTTTCCATTTTTTGAAGTAATCTATGTATATGACCTAAGCAAAGCAAATTAAGTAACAATAGGGACAATCGACACTGTTTCTAGTGACAGCAAAAAAATATCCATGACAATCCACACTCACAAAAGAAGATCATATTAAGTCATCACAAACTCATCCAAAACCTCACCAAAGAAAATAAAACCTCAAAGTCAACTCTGTTGCAGCCCCGTTTATAAAATCTACTAGATCCTCAAGGTGTTCCCGTCTCCCTGAGCCACTCTTCTCTTCTTTAAATATTCCGTTAAAGCTGCAACTTAATACCCATTTCAGAAATCAAGTTTACATTATTTTTTTTTAATTTGGAAATTACCTATGACTAAGAAAAATTGAAGCTAGTATACTAGAGTTGGAGTTTGGAATCATGGAATTAAAACTCAGTCGTTCTGTTACAAATATTGGATTTGCTATTCCACAAAACCATGTTACATAACACCGTGACAGAATTCACGTCTTACTCCCCACATGGTCCATTACATAATGGTGACTCACCAAGCTAGAACCATTTTTACTATTATATCCATTTTTTTAAATTATAAATTACGGAGTATGTAATTTATAAACATGAATATTGAAGTAATTATTATTCACTAAACATATTACCTACCCATATTAAGATAAATTTGGTAATATTACATTAAAATAATTCTTAAACTTAAAAAAATTTAAACAAGTCTAAAACCAATGAATGTGATATTCTTGAAGTAATTCACACCGCGTCAGCCCCGATACATACTATTTGTTCATTAAAAGCTGTTTATGCAACAAATTAACAAAAGCTGTTTATGCAGCAAAGTGATCATGATAGCATCTGTGATTTTTTTTTAATACGTGGACTTTAGTTCTCAAGTACCAAGAAGAAAGCAAAAGCAATAGATCTAAGGAAGCAAAGGTGTTTATAGTAAGGACAATCTCTCAGATATAGCTCGCAACTAGCGACCTAGTGTCACCAATCACCATGGCCCTAGCTTAAGTAAGAACTGACTCAACAGAAGGTAAAATGAGCTGCCAGTGGCATCATAAAGGAAACAGAAATCAGAAATTATACAAAAAAACTTTCACCCAACTAATACATTGGATTTCTATAATTTACAAAGAACTACAAAGGACCAAACAGATTAGATGATTACTTCATAGAACACAGAAAGTAACAGCGCTATATGATTTTTTAACCTACCAAACTAATTTTGGTAGATCATTAACTTATGTGTGCTTCTTTATTTTGTACTAGCCATGGATGAAATGTTTATAGTAGGGATAAGATTGTAAACCACTTACTTCAATACTTTCTAGTTTCTACACTTTTCAGAGTACTAAGTGGTTCACTCATAAATAGCATTGGATGAAAGCCGGATACATCGTAACTATGGTTAGGAGGGAGATCTTTCATATCTTTCGAGATAAAACCCTACAATAAGGGGTCCAAAAGTTAATATCAAGGATCTCAAAAAAACCTGCTACTATAATTTCTTCTATGTCCAAGACATGTTGCATCACATGATCAAGTTTATGATCAAGACTTCCAGTAGTGTTACAAATGAGCTCTAGAAACAGAATAGCAAAACTATGACATCTTTGATGATCGTCTAATTAACCACTTTAGTGGCTATGGTTCTATTTGCCTTAAATAAACTTTGACAACATTAAGTTTTTATCAACCCACAGCAAAAGTAAGTTATGTTGAATTAAAAAGCTGAGCTAAGTTAAGCAAAAAAAAAAAAGTTCAGTTCATTAATAGATAAGATGAGGAGAGCATAGCCTAAGTCCTCCTAGCTATACATCCATAACCCTTGCAGAAAACAACTAAATAATAAGCATTATTTGTTTTGTAAGAACCATAGCATAAGTCCTCCACACTAATTACACCTTACTTAATAAATATGCATTGTTTGTTTCCTATTGAGAAAATGTCATTCTGAGTAAACCATAATGGATTCTACTACAAAAGTTTCCTGTGAACAAAGCAGAAGGCTAAACTTGGTTAAAATTGTTTCCTCAAGATACTAATCATAACTATTGTTGGTTCGTAGCCCCCCATTTCCATAAGGTACCTAACACCCCATGAATCACTGGATGGAAATGAAAGATAATGATGAATTGCTCATTCACATGGTAGCCAGATTCACCTAGTGGTTTTATTTTTAGTTGGTAGGATTCAATCTAACTGTGACAAATCTCTTCGGATTATATGACTCCTGCTCAATTACAGACTCATTGGAAATATATCATTCTGAAGAAAGATGGCTTGCGCAGAGATCTATTACTGTATCAATAACCATTACTCTCTCTATTCAAATTAACTGCAGCGTTCAAATTGCAAGGTTCGTATTATAAAATTTTCTCACAAATTTTACTTAGGCCTTGACTAGATCTCATGTAATAGCCCATAATGTTTCATGGGATAATTGTTACGCGCCTTTACATACACCTGGAATGAGAGAACTTATTTGGGCCCATAACTTTTCTCCCAAAAAAAAGGGTAAACCATACCCCCCAACCCCCCCCCCCCCCAGCAAAATCATTTTAAGGTTAAATCATACAGCCAAAAATCATCAAAATACTACCATCTTTGAACCCATCGACTTCATCTATGGTGGCTGACTGAAGCTCTCTCTCCTCTCTCCTCCTTCAAAGTTCAAACAAGCTAAATATTCGAAAAATTTGCTCCATTCTCTTCCATGGGATTTGTATTTGAAATTCCTCCTTTGTAATTTTCCCAAAGCGAATTTGAATCTCAAGGTTAGCCATCTCCCTAGTCAAAACCTTTCATTCAGTTTTTGGTGATTTAATCTGCGGTTTTCTTAAGTTCATGAATCCATAAATTGTCTTTCGTGATATAACCTGTGATTTGTCAATTGATTTTAGTAATTATCTCTGTTTTTCTTCTTTTTACTTTGTGGCGATTAATTTAAAATTTGTGTTATGGTACTGTAGTTGCAGCTTGCAGGCAGCAAAACGAGGTGTTTGCAAATAACGACAGATGGTCCAACACTCATCACCCTCATGGCCTAACCTTTGCTAACCATCCTACCCTAGAATCAATAGCCCATTATTAATATCCCAGCAACAGTTCCTCCCTAATCATTACTCCCCTAACAACTACATATTATCCAAGCAGCCCCTTAATCTCAATTTTCTACCAAATACACAAAGACAAAAACTAACAGAGCGAGAACGATCTAGAAAAACAGTAAAACACAGGGATTACGAATAGGGGTTATTTCTATTATCTTTCATACAAGCCATAGCACTAAATATTCCTAAGAAATTCTGAAACTAAACCGAAATAAAGCCGAATAATTATCTATTCAATTTAATTTAACAATAGAATCAACAAATTAAAGCGTCAAATTCAAACAATAAACAATCAAACCCTTTTTAATCATCCAAAAATTAATTGTAAAACCCTTTGCAACAAACAAATATTGAATTCAATTAAGGGGAGATGCGACCAGCTAACCTTTGCAACCATGCGTTGAAAAGTAACATCTTCATCGTCGATTCTATCTTTACCTTTACCAAATTTCTTATCTGTAAAACAACAACAAGAATTACGATTCAAACACAAAAAAATGCAGAAGAAACTTTAAGGTATTGAAATTGTGAAGAAAAATTAAACCTTTAGGATCTGAAAGGTTTGAGTACTCCCGAACTTCTCTTCCTGCCATGGAGAAAATCTGACGTTGGTAAAGGGTAACAGACTAGAAGTGAATTTGGGATTGTTCAATTTTTGCAAGGCAAGAAAGAGAAAAAGAGAGAGTGGTATTTGTGTTTTCAGTTTAGAAATTCCAATTTTTTCATTTTGATAAACAAACGGGGTTACTAAATCACGTTCAGTATTTATCGGATAACGCCCGTATTTTAAAATAAACATACTAATATATCCTTTCCTTAAATAACCCATCAAAACATTTTTTTTTTACTTTTAGCTTTCTCTCTCTTCACCCTTTTCACCTACTTTTCTCTTTCACCCAAATTCAACCCCCAAAATCATCCACCACCACCAGTTACCACCAAATTCAACCACCAAGAAAATAATAATAATAATAACAATAATTAAATATTTATAATAATTAAATAATATAATAATAATAAACGACATAAATACGATAATAATAATAATAATAAGTAGAAATGCCTGAAATGTTTCAATGTACCATGGAAGAAACGCCTGAATATTTAGAATCTACCATGGAACATTCTAAAATTTCAGGCGTTCCTATCATGGTTCGCCTGAAATTTTAGAATGTCCCATGGTAGATTCTAAATTTTTTAGGCGTTCCCATAAACATTTGAAAATACAATGTGAGGAACGCCTGCTATTTTTATAATCTACCATGGAACATTCTAAAATTTCAGGCGTTCCTACCATGGTAGATTCTAAATTTTCAGGCGTTCTTACCATGGTAGATTCTAAATTTTCAGGCGTTTCTCCGGCAATTATGAAATAAAAAAAAACGACAAAGATTCATCCGTACTCACAGGCGACCTCTCTGATGGCATTGTCAATTCCGCAAACTCGTCCATTCACCGCTTGTGTAAATCATTTTTGAATAAAGCTTTTTTTTTTTATGAATAATGGTGGCTGGTGGTTGTCTGGTGGCGGTGGCTAGTGGGGTAAAAATAAAATACGATAAATTTATAAGGGATAAAAGTAAATTAGGGTAAGAGTAAATTAGGGTAAAATTAAAAGGGGGCATGCTTGTAATGTCATGTTAAAATACGGGCGTTACCCGGTAAATACCGGACGTGATTTGGCAATTCACTAAACGAAATTTGTCAATTCTAGAGATACTTATTTAATCCTCTAATATATATAGAAATGGGATAATGTGAGAACCCACCCCTTAGGTAAGAACCCTCTTAAAATAAATACCAATCTTACACCATCAATTTTGAGATTATGGATGGCTGAAATTAATTATCACTTTCCCATGCATTTTCTTGGGAACACGCATTTCAGTCATTGGTCATGATATTTAATTTTCTTGGGAACACGCATTTCAGTCATTGGTACATTTCACACATATGGTATGGAACAATATATAATATTTATGGGACAATAGTTCATATTTCTAGAACAATGTAAATACTATTTGACAATAGTCTACTGTTTCATATAATTTTGAGATGTTTCAAAAGATGTTATTATTGTTTCAAAAAGACTTATCGCTGTTTCAAATAAAAAATGTAATGTTACATTGAATTGTGTTGTCAGCGTTATGTTAAAATGTAGTTGGTGTACGTTATTGATGTTTCATAAAATATATTAAGTGTTTCAATTTATAATATTAATGTTTCATATATATTATTGCTTGTTTCATATAGTTGGGCTCTATATGAACTAGGTTTACTGTGATTTCTTATACCTTATTAATGTTTCAAAAAACATACCTTATGTTTCATTTTATACTACTTATGTTCCATAAAATATATGTATTGTTTCATATACTGATGATATTGTTTTATACATAAAAATCATTGATGTTTCATATAATATTTCATTCGAATATTATTTATATTGTTCCAGAAATATGAACTATTGTCCCATAAATATTATACATTGTTCCATATCATATGTGTGAAATGTACCAATGACTGAAATGCGTGTTCCCAAGAAAATGCATGGGAAAGTGATAATTAATCTCAGCCATCCATAATCTCAAAATTGATGGTGTAAGATTGGTTCTTATTTTAAGAGGGTTCTCATATAAGCCTTGGTTCTCACATGATCCCACCCCAATATATATATATATATATATATATATATATATATATATATATATATATATATATATAGGGTCGGGATCCGGTGAGAACCACCTTCTATGTGAGAACTCATCCCATATGTGAGAACAAATCTCAGCCATTAAATTGTATTAAATCGAACGGCTGTGATTAATCACATAAACCTCCTACAAACCACTTAACTGTCTTCTCTCTCTACCCAGTTAACTGACTTCTCTCCACCACGAAGCTTCATCAATGGCTTGATTAATCCATTTGAAGGCTTGACAATTTTGATTTCATCTTCTTCTTCACAAGTACGAATAACTTCGATTAAAGAATACGAAGGTCAATAATTATCAAGGTTTGTTTAACTTTTCAATTTCGATTTTACTGCTCTGAAAATTTCGAATTGCATAAATTATTAAGGCATTGTAAGTTAATTTGATTTTGATTTTCGTTGTTGTCTATGATTTAATTTGAATTTTAAATCAAGATTGTGCGATTTTGATTACAAAAATTTGGGTTTCACATTTTTTAATTTCGATTTTAGTATTCTGGAAATTTTTGAATATGAATGTCTTAAATTTGGTTATCCGAGTTTGACATTCTAATTTTTGCTCGATTATTTTACTTTGAGTGTTCTCAATTTAGGATTTTCGTTAAAATTTTCAATAGGATTTTCAATTTTTCCTGTAGACAAGATCCTTGACACCATCGAGGAGTTTGCGGACGAGCCAGACTTGCAGGTCCGCAAGAGGAAGAAGTATGGTGTCGAAGACTTGGTTTGGCCTAAGGGTGATTTCATTGCCAGGGTAGAGATTGATCAACTAACTGAACACTTGGTAATTATCAATGAGTTTGTTTTGAATATCCTGATAGTGCATACAAGGTGTTTGATAAAATGCTTGTTAGTAAATGCTTGGTGATTATTTGTCGTTTGAGGAATGCTATCACATGGAATTGAACAAGGGACTATTAATGCTAATCAAATGATTACTCGACTTAAGGAGAATGTAGTTGGTAGAACTAGATGTTTGCCATGTAAAATGAGTGCTAAAAACAGAAGTTGGTTTGATAATATGTGATGTATAAGTTTCTTTAGCTACTTGTTTTGATAATATGTGATGAGCAACGATAATAAGTTAGTTTCTCATTTGTCAAATGAGCAAATAATTAGTTGCTCATTTGTCAAATGAGCAAATACTTAGTTGCTACTTTCACAAATAAGCATTGAGTTATTTGCTCATTTGACAAATGAGCATTGAGTTATTTGCTCGTTTGACAAATGAACATTCAATTATTTGCTCATTTGACAAAAGATCAAAGAATTGTTTGCTTATTTCACAAATGAGCATTGAGTTCCTTGGTCTACTTGCCTATGCACAAGCCCCACCCTCTTCTTCTTGGTTTGTTTCCTGCCCACCAACCACACTCCTTTCTTCCACTTCCCTCCACAAACCTATCCCCCCTGCCCCCTCATCTTTCTGCTTGCAGTTTTGTTTCAAAAACTAATTTCAGTTCTAATTTTAGATTATGAAATTATTGTGTGTGTGTATGTGTGTGTGTGTGTGTCTGTATCTGTGTGTGTGAGTGTAAGATGTATGTGTAAGTGTGTGTGTTTGCTCCTGGCCGTGTACATTCTTATTTAAGAATCTGATTTCAATTATTGAGAGTGTGTGTGTAAGTGTGTTTAAGTGGGTGCATATTCACTTGTTACTAATTTACTTGATAATACTTCCTAGTAGTAGTTGTGTTGGGTGAGTATGTGTTGGGTAACTTGTGAGCTATGGTGGTTGTTGTAGTAATAATGGACGCATTTTAGTTTCTACATTTTATTGTTTTCCTCTACTTCTATGGGAGGGCGTTGATCTATATCAAAAACCTATTAGCTCAAGTGGTAGAGTGCTATGAAAATGCATAGATGATGTAGGTTCGAATCCAACATAGGTTGTATTTATAAATAACTATATAAAAAAAACCTTCAAAAAAAACTTGACATCGTTGTTCAATTCTTATACATGTCTTATAATTGTAATATGATTTATGCAATGTCCGAAATTTTTAGCATGAATTAGCCTAGGCAACTTCCTCTTGATCAAATAATAGGTGTTCCTTTTCCAGCTTAACTTCAAACTTTTGTAAGTTATAAGTTAATCATGCTTCCTGTTGTATACATACTTGCAATACTTCTGCTTTTGATGCCAAGCTACAACTGCTTAGTACACAAGAATGTCGCAGTTAGCATTGGTGTAATAATTGATCGCAGCACTCATGTGGGAAAGGAACAGGAAATAACAATGAAGATTGCAGTTCAAGATGTTTATAGAGACATCAGTGGGTGTCTTTTGTATTGTTTTCCCAATAGCCAAAAGAAATAAATATCATTAACTACTCAAAATTTTCAAACTCTACATTTTCACACTACTCTACATGCTAATTGAGTGTAGTTTGCTCATTTCTTTGCTCACACCACAAACTTGTGCCTCCACATTACATAAATGAACTTACGTGGGATTCGAACCCACATCTTTTGTGCATTTTCACATTGCTCTACCCTTGAGCTAGTAGGCTAATGTATTTAAAACATTCAAACACACTCACAAATGAGCATTAATTTGCAAAAATGAGCATTAAATAGTTTGCTCATTTGACAAAGGAGCTTTGGAATTTTTTGCTCATTTGACAAATGAGCAAAAAATTAATTGCTCATTTGTCAAATGAGCAAATAATTAATTGCTCATTTGTCAAATGAACAAATAATTAATTGCTCATTTGACAAATGAGCATTAAATAGTTTGCTCATTTGACAAAGGAGCATTGAATTTTTTTGCTCATTTGACATGATAAGAGGTTGAGAGAGATAGTCGAAGTACATTAGTACAATATCATTCACACACATTTATCTCATTTACGTATGGCTGATAAAATTTTCATGATTTGAAGTACTTTTTGCCTGAAGCTCAAAATTCTAAATAAGATCTTCTTTCATTGACATTTATATTTCATAAAGAGATAGCCACTGGTTAAAAGTGCCAGTTACAGGACATATATACTAATTCATTACTTTTGCTAAAACAACGGTACC